ATTGCTAAACGTGGTTTCAGATCTCTATTCTTCCTTTCAACTGGGTTAGATTGTGGGTGATAGACAGGAGTAAGACTTTGATCAATGTTCAAGATATAGCATAGTTGTTGCATAACAGCACTAGTAAACTGGGTACCATTATCACTTATTATTTTCTTGGGTAACCCAAATCGAAGGGCAACTTCCTCCAAAAGAATAGTGGCACATTCTCTGGCCGTGGCTTCCTTTAAAGCAAATAGTTCTGTCCACTTCGTAGCACAGTCCTGCACAATAAAAATCCATTTTTCACCAGACGGTGTTTTAGGAAGGGGACCGAAAAGATCAATTGACAAGGTTTCAAAACGTTGAGCATAGACTGGAATTTGAAGTAAACCAGATGGCTTTTGATTAGTGGCTTCTCCCCCTACTTTGAAGACAGTGTGATATTTGTTAAGCAATGCATCAGTTGCAAGCCGTTGGGCTGTAGTTAATTGCTGTCCTTCATTTTCTCGTAGTCGGCAGTTGTTTACAACAACTGGGGTTTCTTCCAGTACTTGGGATTGATTAGGTTTCACGAAGCTATATTTTCTTCGAGGTTCATCAGAAAAGTTCCACTTATTTTCAGCAAGATTTAAAACAATTTTAGCTTTTTGAAGAAAGTCAGTTCCTAACAGAGTCGAGTTATTTTTGGCATCAGGCAACACAAGGAGCGGAGTTTTGAACTCTCTGCCTTCGAGAAGAATGATTTGTTCGGTGCGAAGTACCTCTTTTTCAGATACCAAACCATCAGCGAAAGACACCTGTAGTGTTGTCTTTTCAAATACTGCATCTTGTTTTTTGCAGAATATGATAGAGGGATTCACTTGCAATTGAGTGACTAGCACCAGTGTCGGCGAAAGCTGTACCGGAAACACCACCAATACTAATTCGAAATACAGCAGTCCGAGTGGAAGATAAACAGGATCGGATTTGGATAGTGCCAAAATTTGATGAATTTGAAGTCTTTGGGGGGTTACAATCTGGACATTTAGACTTGATAAAACCAGTTTTTCCGCACCCATAGCATGTTAAAGGAGGTCGCTTTTCCTCTGTTTGTTGCTGAACACGATTTGAAAAGGTTTTATGAGTTCCCTGTATGTCACTTGTTCGATTTTCTACTTTGTGTTTGGATGGATTAGTCAGTTTGTAAGAATAGTTCCGCCTGCCAGGAAGTTGAGTTTTTATAGTTCGTATTTTTAACACGTACAGCTTCATAATCATCCAATTTCTGTACTAATTCAGATGAACTCTATTTTTTCCCAAGTATCAATAAAATGCTCCTTAACGTCACTACTGACTCTTCTTTTAAGCTGATCCTGTCAGGACCAAGTCTTTGAGTGATTCAAAGTCTCTGTAACATCGAGACTATGGAGCCACTCTTCGAGATAATTGTTTAATTCGTAAGTAAAATCTTTCCATAAAGACCCAGGGTGTTTTTGGTGTGTAGTAAGTTTAATTCGAAATGATTCAGCATTTAATTTGAATCTTTGTAGCAGAATCTTCTTGATGTAAGAATAATCTTCTAATTTGTCTTTTGGTTCTCTTAAAATAATTTGCGAAATGTCTATAGGCAGAAGAGGTAGGAGTGATGTAATCTATTTGTTTTATATTAACTTTCTCACATTGTCTTTCAAAAATTTGCAGGTAGGTTGCAATGTCAGGAGTTCCTGCAAATTTAGGGATTAGGTGTTGAATATTTGTTTCTGCATTTGAAGCAATTGCTGCATTTGAAGCAAAGGCGGCATAGTTAGGATTTGAGCTAGCAGCTGCCAGGTTTAATTTTAAACGTTCCAATTCTAATAAAAGTTCTTGTTTTTTTCTTTGACGTGTCTCCAGATCGTTGCTTTCACGTTGTTTTTGTTGTCTAGTTTCGATTAAAGTTTCCAGAAGATTCCTGGTAAAAGCCTCATCATAAGTGTCAGAATTGACAATAAGATCTTTAAGATCTATTACTCGCATAGTGTCGTTTACAGTGAAACCCAGTTCTGCAGCGAGAGTTTTTAAATCCTCTTTTCGTGCTTTGGCAAGGTAAGCCATAATTATATGAGAGGTCAGGGGGCAGGGAAAAAGATGAAGTTGAATTTGTTGTTATTTCGATTTTATTCACAATACAGTATTTAGAATTAATAATTATACCTTTAAGTAAAATGTATATACCCTATTAAACAGCATGTATGAATGTAAACAATGTGTTACTCGTACATTTATATACCACTATTAAACAGTATTTATAATTGTAAACAATAATACTCACAAAGTTTATCATTTCGAAGTCGTAAAAATATCATAAAATGCCCTCATAAATTCAACTTGTATCAAGAAAATAACATATAATAAATTGCTCAAAAATTGTTTACTACTTAGCAAAACATATAAAAACATACATAAATGTCTTACCATAAGCTTTTATATTTAAGCTGAATTCTTCGAAATCTTAATCTTAACAAAATATTAAGCTGATTAAGCAACACACACTTAGTAACTCTTTTACTTTATTTAAATAGTCATTCGATTTTATTCATAATTATTTTCTTTCGCTTCAAGAAATATTTTTTAAGACATGCATTCATTAAAGGAAAACAATCGTATTTTCTTAAAGTATTATACTATAATCATCTTCTCAAAATGTTCGTCGAAAGATAAATCAACAAGTACAATATTTTATTTTATGTAGAATAAAACATTTTATAAGGAACAACAGCACTCAAAGGAAATAAAAATAATAAAAGATTTGACGTAAACACATCATAAATCATCGCTAGTCTAAACATTTCCGCGGGGGGAAAACATCTGCTGCTGTATGTCAGAAGCGAAACTAATAAATTCTAATGAACAACGTCCATGAATATATTCAAATTTTAACATCAAAACATGTATTCAGTGAAACAATATTATCTACAAATTAATTTAATATGCGCATTAACATTTTAAAATAACAAATTACAATTCAAGAAATAACGTTTGGTTAACAGAAAGCCGTTTGCTTTCGTTTAATACTCTTATGTAGTATCAATAAATGAGATTTCAGTAAAGAATTTACATTTGCTTTAAGAAGCAGCTTATAATAAATAATCAGTTTAAAAGAACTTTAAACTCAGATTAAACGATAATGTAAACGAAACTTATCTTTTCCGTTGAAATTGTCCAGTTGATGATTCGATGTGCTAGCAGCACGGTATGACAATTTTAATTCCAGAATTGGTTTCCACAATATTTTGACCAGTAGTCCACACCTGAAAAGAAACTGAGCCGATCTCCAGCAACTAAAAGTTAAATTCGGAAGTAAGAGCTTGTTAACGCCAAACAGAAATTCTAAACATTTTGTTGCGCCATTTTGGATTCAAATTTCGTTGGGCGCCAATGTGATGTAGCCGTTCCTCAATAAACACTAATGCCGGTTAGCTTTAAAAGGATTTATTAACAGAGCACACAAGAACGGTTACAAACAAAAGAAATATACATAAAAATGAAACTTAACCAAATGGAACATCAAACATTGAGAATAACATAACATAGTAAGCTATTATCATGGCGGCTGGAGGTCGACTGACGTTTTTTCATATCGCCACGAGATGCGTTTAAATAAAATAGTTCGGTTACAGTTCATGAGTTCATGGCGTGAATAAAATAGTTCAATTACACTTAAATAGGTCTGTTACATATGTATATTTAATGTAAAATGATACATTTATTTTATTATTTATATTTACGGTAATTAATAACGTTTTTACTATACGAATGAATTAAAAATAATAATTCTTTTTACGCAGTTTCAAATTTACAGGAATGCCCTGAGATGACGCCCCTGCTCGTATCCATGTTATACATAGGAAAAACCACGAAATCCAATCATGCAGCCAGGCCGTTCGTTTGGGCTGGAACCCAAGCCCAACTACCAGCATTTAGTGAGCTCTACCACTTGACTGACCTCATGTTTTTGGAGTTGGCTATAGCTCATCACATATGTAAAGGAAACACAGATATCATTTATCTACTTATTAAAATTTTTTGGATATTAAATTTAAGCTAAAATTATTAGAATTCATTAATTTAGAGCTTAGAACATGATAAATATTAATAAGTAACAACAGAGAAAATTCATGCTATAGATATTTTTAGGAATCTCAAGGCAACACATGGCGCTAACCAGCGGCCGAGCGGTAAAGTCGCTGAATACTGGTAGTTCGATCTGGGATTCTAATCTACGAGCTAGTTTTTCTTTAAACGGCCTCCACGAAGGCATCCCTCCAATTAGAAAGATAGCCTCGAGTGCTTTCCCCTAATTAAACAAACAAAATCAATATATGCTACATATTAGTGCTTCAAATACAAATAAATAATAAATACTTGCATAAAATTTCTTCTAAATAAGTTTTATATGTAGTTATACTGTAAGGTTTATCCTAAGTTGTTAACAGTTATTTTTAGTTAAAGCCACTATCTTATCTCTCCTAATTTCAGCTTATAATTTCCTGGCAGAACGTATTTTCAAAATCGCAGTTAAATGCAAATGAAGAAGAAGAAAGTATTTAACTTTGAAGTTCTACTGACTTCGTTAGAGAGCCAGAGATTCTGACCAGCGGGCGTTCGCCTTTTAGGCTACTCTCTCTAAAGCTATTTCCACGCTCGGCCATACTTTAGGCCCTTGATAGTTTCGCCGTTTAATTAGTGTTAAGTGGCCAACTCTTGTAAAATCTTGATAGCTCCGGGTATATCTTTTTAGTTAAGTCTTATTTCTTAGTATTCCTGAGTTTAAGCCTAAGTGGAGGCTTTGCTGTAAACTCCAAGAAGGAGTCAACTGTTAAATTTATTTCGAATAATAAAGGGTATTTAACCCTTCTTGAGTTCTGCTCTCTATCTACTGAACTAAAGCGATTATTCGCTTACCAGTTATCAAGGTTCTACACATTTAGCTGTAAATTTATAGGTTAGAACATTACAATACTATTAATGAAGTATAAAATAATATTACATCTACTTACGTAAATTCGAAGTCCTCCGTTGCATTATAATAATTCACTAGAGAACTGTCCATGAAGATCACGTCCAGCTGTTAAAAATACAGTAAAATTCAGGACAAATTTTTATACTGTTTTCCTATGAAATAAATTATTATTATTATTTTTTTTTTTTAAATCTGAAAGGTTTCAGATTTTAAATTACATCCAAAGAGGCGTTTTTTTAACGTTTTGTCTGTTACTTTTATTTATTAAATATCATGTTCTTCGCACTTAAACCATAAAATTCAGTTCAACAGCAATATCACAAAATAATTTTAAAATGAGCATATCTTTAGAATTTCCGATACACAGTTCCGCGCGGGCGCTGGAGATAAAAAGTTTTTTTTTTTTTTTTTTTTTTCCTTCCCATAGAGTGTTTCTATTGCTCGCTTTTAAATCGTTGAGTTTGTTAATCAAAAATTCGCTTAAAGTTTTACGAAATATGAAACCGATAATAAAACAAATTCCAAATTTCAAATTTGGTTTTTTAGATGCCCATATTTGCAGTAGGATTACGTCATTCAAAATTGGATGGCTCTAGATACCGTTATTTATCACAATGCAAGAAACATACATACATCTATGCAGATTCTTCATATTTAATTTCTTCAAATATAATACAGGGTGATAGGATTTGGTGACAACAGTTTGAAAAGTGAAATGGACATTCAGAGTGATTCGACGCAAAATCGCAAAACGAAAACAATAGTCCTTCAAGGACAAAGCCCCTTTGGACTAAATAATGTTCAACTTCCAGACGAATATTTATTTTAATAGTTTCCGTGAAACGTGAAATAATTAGGTACACAGTTTGCATGGATCGGGATTTAAAATGCTTGCATTTCAAATAATGTTAAACCTTAGAGCCCACATATCAAACTCGATTAATTTTCCTGCAGCCTTTGATTCACTACGAGGGAAAAAAAAAAAAAAAAAGAAACCTGCTATTGTAAAAACAATAAACGAAAGGGAGCCTGTTTTCTAGAAAACATGTGCCGAGAAGCTGTAAGAATTGTATGTTCATTAATCAATTAATATGATTTGAACTTCAATCAATTAATATGGTTTGCACAGATAATATGATCTATAACTTCTTCCTTCTGTAGTTCTCATCAAAATGCAACTTAGTTGTGTGGATATTTAAGCCAGAGGTTTTACAGTTTTAGAATTAGATTCATTAGGCTATTTGTGCATTAGACGTGAAAAATGTGCAACGCCCTCGTCAGGACTCGAACCCTGGACCTCTCAAATACGCGCCGAGTATGCTTCCAAACACACCTCGAAGGTATGTGGAAAGGAGGGTGAAAATATCTTAGAAAAGCTTTTGGCAATTTGATTTGCGATTACGTTCTATCGCCAGATCCGCCAAAGATTATTCCCGCTTTAGCCATTTTGGCAGCCGACGTTAAAAGCGCACCGTTAGTTCCTTGAGCCAGCTTAAGTAGACTATTTGTGTAGTCTCCGACTATGTTACCTTAAATTTGAATTTCAACTCAGGTTAATTAAAATACAAGCAAATGGCGGAGTTTGCTTTTTTATAAGCACAGGTGGTGGTTTCTCTTAAATCTAAAGTGTTAGTAGAAAGGTATGTTACTTAAGTAAGTTAGTAAAAAGATAATCACTATTTATATATTTATATTACTGTATTTGGCGCACGGTAGTTTCTACCACCTTTCAGTACGCCGTCGTTGTGTAAATGTTAGCACACTCGACGTGTTTTCGAGGAGAGGTCCAGGTTCGAGTTCGGCGAGGACATTGCTCATTTTCCCCGTCTCCTGCTTAAAACAACCTCTCTACAGTGGCGCCAGAACTAAGTGGTGGTAGATGCTGCTGCTTTACCACCAGGATTTGGTGATTGGGTCGATCCCCTAATCCCCAGGCAGTCTTTAAGAGGGCCTTTTTTCTGCATGCCTTCGTGGTGTAACGGTAGCACACTCACCATATATTCGAGAGGTTCAGGCTCGAGTCCTGGTGAGGACATTGCACATTTTTTACTTCTCCTGCTTCAAAATAACCTAATGACTCTAACCGCTATCCCACCGAATGTTATCCTCAAAGCCATCTACAGCATTGTATGTTCCCCACTTCAAAAACCCTTTAACGGTTGTTTCAGGTTTTTTACTTTCCTGTGCAGCCAGAATTCATTTACACATACACAGTGCACACTCGAACGTTTCATTCTTGCTTTTGGTGTAAGATCATGGTTTCCTGTGCTCATCGAATTATTATGAAGTCTTCAGAATGCACTTATAAGGAACTATGAACAGTAACATCAAAGGGTTGAACCATGGAAGTTAGGCCTCGAACCATAGCTACATCAGCTTTTAATTCATTTAACTTCGCCTTCCCTGGAGAAATTAAGTGACATCGGTACCTATCCAAACTAACAAGCTCTTAAGCTTCAGCAAATCATCGGATCTATTCCAAATAGCTTCTAGTCTGTTCAATACGTGATTATCTTGCATCCAGACCTTTTCCTGTGCATGTAGAACAATACATGGTGTTATGTCTTTGGGTGCAGTGTTCCGTTTTAACACAATGTATGGGGGCAGTTTTCATTCATCAGCCTAAACAGCCAGCATTAACTGTACATTGCTGCTTCTTACCATCTGCAGTCTTGCTTCTTACTGCGTATATAAGCTTCTAGGTGCAACTGCAATAGATATAATGGTTATTTGATATAAATTACAGATTTCAGACAACGTATACGAATTAGTTTGTCATCAAAGTCTGCCGGAAGATGTTGTGCACTTGTTGCCTTACGACGTAGCGGCAAAACACTCCTACACATGAAACGTCCACACATCCCTGTACTAAGTCGAAACTCACGGCTTATCGCCATTCGACCAGCTTCTTCACGAGATTGAAAGCGTATCTTATCAACAGTTATAAGGTTATACTTGGTCTGATATTGGAACTTTAGTCCTATAAACGTACTGCACAGGTAGCGAGTTATCGCTATGACTGAAACAGCATGACGAAGACTTACAACGGTTTAAACCTTTTATCAAACCGAACTTTTACCAAAACAGGACCTGCAATAATAATGAGGCACACAATTATTGCTTTTCTGAAACAGCAATTATAATTGCTGTAACTGTATAAGCAATAATTACAGCAATAATACAGTAATAATTATGAAATATTATTACCTACGTACGTACAAGACATCACGAAAATACTCCCTTCTGAAACCATTTTAAATCCCTTTTACAATCCGTTTTGGAGAAAAGAGTGCTTTATTCGCCCGTACGGGTGCAGATGTTACCGGGGGGGGGGATCCTTCAAATGGATTCGAGCGCGTCAAAAAGGATATTTTCATTCAAATATGATACCCAACATTTTTGGCGATTACAATATTTCTTTTACTTAGTATAAGGAAGTAAACAGTGCGGCTTATACACGCCAGAATACGGTATTCAGTTTGCTGTGTTATTCATCTTAAAGGCCACGTAGTACTTTAAAAGCAATATTTATATTACTCAACCTTTTTCTTGCAATGATCCCTTGCATTTTTCTCTGTAAAGTATAGCATACAGATTAATCCTATTGCAAATGATTGTGCATAAATAACTTAACAATGATAAAATAAGAAGATGAACAAAAGTTTTAAAAAATGTTTTATTAGACTAATATTTTATTACTTTTAAGAAATATTATTTTATTATTATTATATTATTACGAAATGTACAGGCGCGGTGAGATAGCTTCCCCGGGTGAGATAGCTTTTAGGGTTGCCATAAAATGGCAAGGAAAGGCCGGATGGCCATATTTGGCGAGAAATCGCTCATTTGACGGCATTTGGCGACAAAATTGCCGATGTGTCATGGACGGATGGAGAACCTTCTGGACCGGTTTCTTCTTACCGGTTTAGCCCAGAATGTTCTCGAACACCAGAACTCAAATGTTCTCGAACGTGCGAGTTAGTGTGTCTCATCCAGTTAGTAAGTGCGGAGACGATCGAGTTGACAGCCGGCCAGCGAATGTCGAGTGGGTCGTCGAGCGCATCGAAGAGTCTCTTAATGTATCGCGGTTTGCATCGTCGAGAGAGTGTGTTAAGCTCCGGGAACGATTGAACCGAAGAGTCGGGAGCTGTGCTCTGTGTCGTCCAGTGCATCGCGAGTTGTAGCGTGGAGAGTCTCGAGAGTACGTGGAGTTCCAAGAACGACCAAGCACAGTCGGGAGCTGTACTCTGGTGCTTTACAGTGAAGCTGTCTTCACCGTTATAGCCTGATAACCTTTCGGCTGTGTCGCTGATTGTTCCCGCGAGTGTATAGTAGATCTTCGACGACTGTAAAACGTGACTTTGGAGCTGTCCTGGTTAATATTGGCTAAATAAAGTGTGTTTCGATACTTCATCACGTGCCTTCTTTATTCACTCCAAATCTACGAACCCCGTACTAACGTGAAGGAAGAAAATAACGTAACAACTGATGTCAGAAAATAAAAACGCAACAATATATTATTATCATTATATAGTATTATTATTGTAATTATTCATATTATTATTACTCACATTATTATATAATAATAATGATAATAATAATTTTTTCACAAATATACACAAGTTTTCAGACACAAAATTACATATTCTAATTTCCCAAAAGTTCGATTTTAATTATTGTGATGACTGTGGTTAATGTAGTAATGCAATTTTGGTTTATATGTGGCATAAAACTGCTTAACTTAATTCTTAAATTACCTCTTTCAGAAATATTCAACCTGTTCTTATTTTCGTAGCAAGTTACTGACGTGACTAAAGCCTGCTTCCATTAATTAAGAAGAAGGAAAAGTTAATAATGTTGGTTCACTTATAAGATATTTGTCCTTTCTTAGCATGCATTTGTGGTGTAGTGGTGAGCACACTCGGCGTGTATTCGAGAGGTCCGTAGTTCGAGTCCCGGCGAGGGCATTGCTCATTTTTCATCTCTCCTGCTTTCAAAAAATAACCTAATGTCTCTACACTGGCGCCCGCACTAAAAGGTTGTGAATGATGATTCTTTACCACCAGGATTTGGCGACTGGGTCCCCTAAACCCCAGTCGCCCTTTAAAAGGGGGAGTATATAAGGTATTTCTCCCACCTTCTTAACATGTCTTCGTGTAGTGGTGAGTACACTCGGTGCGTGTTCGAGAGGTCCGTGGTTCGAGTCCTGGCGAGGGCGTTGCCCCTTTTTTCATCTCTCCTGCTTTAAAAAAATACCTAATGTCTCTCTACACGGTAACAACTTTAATTTGGAACTATTTCTGTCGGATCACTTTTAAATTAAAAAACTTAGTATATCCATGCGTTATGAATAAGACTTCACTTATTTGAATAATAAAACTTTATGTCAATAAACGGTTAATTATCAGTTTTATTACGACATTTTTTTGTAATCAATGGTATCTTTATTATGGTGACTGCATGTTCAGCTATGGAACCCTTGATCATTATAAGACCCCTTCCAAAATTTCATCGATCTCTAGAGGTCGATACAGATCCTGTTGGGAAATCCTGGTTTAAACCAATGGCATTAACACAACGACACTAATCAAAATAAAAATTACGCAGATTAAAACGACATTTTAACGTGTGCCAGATACGTGGGTTAGACTCACCCGGTACTTTTCCGTTTTGCCGGCGCAAGCGATAAAGTCGCCAATAATGGTACAACCGATGCCGAACGGAATATTCTCGCTGGTAACCTTTTACGCCTCATTTTCAAAACAAGGCGCAGCTTTTTCTTATCAGATTGATTGTTTCTTTCAGTACTGGCATATAATTACATAGAATTTTTATCAGATAGTTCAGTTTTATATCTAAGGCCATTTTCGGTAATTAAGTCAATTAGGATGCAATGCAATCACAGCGCTTACCTCGAAGCCGGAAAATATAGAAAAGGTAAAGTCAAGGGTTAAATTCATCAATTCTAATGAGAATGCATTAGCGAAGTAAAGCACTGCAGTTTTACATAATTTCTGAGTAAGCTATCGTACGAATTGAAATAATTCTTGCATTTAAACTTGTGTTCCAAATTAAGATTTAACTTGAAATTAATGTAGATAATTACTGAGAGCATTAGATTTTTGTAGAGTAGTTTACGTGAGATGAGATCGCTTGGGGTCACGTGATATGAACCGGCGAATCAGGATGTTGAACCATAGTAAATTCTTAAATTAATGTCTTTTTACAAATTTATTGGCTTTTTATAAAATTTTAAGCCCTATTAAAATGTTTATGCCTTCAAAAAAAGAATTCTTAGAACTAACATTTTTTTTAAATATTTTTTATGTGTATACTGTATGTTGTCGCCAATAAAGTCTGCTTGGCGAGATTTGCGCCGGCGAAACGGAAAAGTACCGACTCACCCTTGCTGACATCATTTGCGTAGACTAGTGTGAAACTTGAATTATTTGCATGGCTAACAACGATGAACCCACTGTAGCAGTGATGGCAAACCTTTTGAGCTTGGAGAGTCGAAATTCGGGAAAATACTCTAGCTTAACTCTGATGTCATGACACATAAGAAGCATCCTTCTATCATTCGTTTCATCCGTTTACCAAGAATGCACTCAAAGGTACCTGAGGTAAAAGCAACACATATTGACAATTACAAGGCGGTTGCAATAGACAGTGTTTTTATGTCGTGCGATATTTTTTCTCCATCAACGTCTCTGGAAAGGCGTGATGCATGCGTGTCACCAAAAATGGGTTCGCATGTCACTTATGACACTGTCATAGGTTCACCTTCACTGCACTATACGCTTAATTTCCTGATTTTCTTCAGGTGAGTTCCTATGGATGTAATTTTTAAAAAAATATTTATTTATTTACTTTAACGATTTTAGCGATGGTTATATTATAATCATCCTTTTACAGCATACTCACCGAATGCCTGAGTTCAGCAACTAACTGAAGATGATGACTCGAAGTTGGATCCGATAATTCAGAAACAAAGTGTCTGTTCATGATTCGAAAATGGGCAGCGACTCGGCTTATACCTGGTAAATTACCTGAAATAAATTCGAATATTAAAACCAATAAAATGCGCACAACTACGCAATGCACAATATAGGAATTTTAATAGTTAGTAAGGAACTTAACCAGAAGTTAATTAAATAATCAAAACTTTTGATTTCGTATAATCAGGAGTTACTAATTATGTGTAATTCTATATGATTTAATATTTATGAATGTGAGCAAATTTTCGCTTCTTTATATGCTTAAGATAAAACTGATTACTGATTTACTCTTAAAGACAGTATGCTGAACAAGAGTCAGAATTTTTATTGAAAATCACTAGTAAAACATAATCAGGAACCGATTAAGATAGCATTGGGCAGTAGTCTCAAACTCAGACTACATACGAACCACATGCACGACCTGAAAACAACTGATGGACAGAATTTTTCCTTCTCTTTTTCTTTTTTTTTTCTTTCTTTCTTTCTTTTTTTTTTTAATATATTATATATATATATATGCTTTCTTCTTCTTTTTTTTTTTTTTTTATTTTTTACATTATGGAAAGTAATATATTTAAACAAATTTTTAAATTTTGAATTTCGCTCACTAAACATTTATCAAAACATAACAAATAATAATAATATAAGGTATTTCTCCCGCCGTCTTAGCGTGCCTTCGTGGTGTAATGGTCAGCATGCTCGGTGCGTCTTCCAGAGGTCCGAGATTCGAGTCCCGGCGAGGGCATTGCTCATTTTTCATCTTTCATGCTTCCGAAAAAGTCCTAATGTCTCTACAGTGGCGCCCGAACTAAAAATGTTGGTGGATGTTAATTCTTAAAAAGCAGGATTTGGCGATTGGGTCCCGTAACTCCAATCGCCCTTTAAAAGGGGGAGTATATGAGGTATTTTTCCCGCCTTCTTAGCATGCCTTCGTGGTGTAGTGGTCAGTACGTTCAGCGCGTCTTTGAGAGGTCCTTGGTTCGATTCCCAGCGAGGGCATTGCTTATTTTTCATCTCCCCTGCTTTTCAAAAATTACCTAATGTCTTTACATGTTATTTGTGAAGAATTTTTTACTTACTCTCATGGTCAAAGGGAAACCAAGGGATTCCAAAAATCAAACCGCCTTTAACTGGAAAGAAAGGGAGAAAATATTTAATTATAATAAATGTAATGCATTTGATTATAAATAATTATTGGAGCATCTTACTATTGTAAGTGAGAAACACATAAAAATTGTGCTTAAAATGACTGTAAATAAAATCATAATAGTACTTTACATATTTAAACGCAATATTTATTCTTTACATTGTAGCTAATGAAGCTTATTAGAATTTTTAACACTACATTTTTGCATGAATTTTGTTGTTTGCCATTTTACTTTTCTCTGACTACGTGGATATGTTGCTGTGTGTATCCGAATCTAAGTCGGTATAATAAGACTTTGCTGCAAAAATTCAACCAAAATTAAAAACCATGCATAAGCAGAATTTAAAATTATTCTGTATATCCACCACGTATAATCGATTATCTATAATGATGCCATTTAAAAACAAATTAAGTAAATAACACACACACACACACACACACAAAAAAAAAAAAAAAAAAGGGAAAGGACTTTGCTTTGTTCAGCAGTCAGCGTGGTGCTCCACCAAGGAGTGCATTTCGGGGCTGCGTAATGTTTCCTTTTCAAGACTTTTTAGCACACTGAGAGCAGTGTTTGCATAAGATCTTCATGCATGGCGTCGATGTCTTTACTACTGTTGCAATTGTTACATTGTGCAACGAGACTTTCAATATGGGTTGAGAGTGCATCTTTAAATTTGTTGAAGTTTATGAACTTCGTTTTCCCTCTGTTCTTTGTTATAAACTGGTGCTCCGAATCAATTCTGAACTCAATGTAGCGATGGTCACTGAACGAGGGGGTTTCGCTAACCTTCCAATTGTGAATATTATTAAGTATACCAGTGGTGGCTAAAGTGATATCAGGCCAACCCGGAGCCCTGGTAGCCCAGTATGTCGGTGGGGTTGATGACTGCAAGGTTATGAGAAGTGATGAAGTCAAGACAGGGCAAACACGCCTGTTTTCCTCTGGCGCACCCCATAGAGAGCTAGCAGCGTTAAAGTCCCCAGCGATTATCTTATTCCTAGTCGGAATCATCTTGACTTGTTCCAGCTCCTAGAGTGCAGTGACGATGTCGTGTGAAGGAGGAAAATATACGCTGGTGATGGCAATCTGACCATAAGGCCCTTCCAGTTGTACAGTAACTGTGTAATCTCCTTTATGCATTAGCAGGGGCGTGAGTGGACCATTGTAGGCGATGGCTGCTTGATTGCCTACGGAATGATAAGTTTTGAAGTTGCTGAATCCTGTGATCCTGTTGTTAATGAAATGAAACTCTTGTAGTGCCGCTAGATCTACATTGTTTTCTAGAATAACCTGTGCTGCACGGAGAGTTGCGGCTTGGCTGCGTTGCAAGTTGCCTTGAAGAACTGCAAAACCATGAACTGTTCTTTTATATGCAATAGCCTGCTGTTCATCTACCACTGCGCCGTTGTTTTCATTCTGAACAGTTCTGCCTTGTAGGCTTGACAATGTCTTGCACTAGACGGGTGTGTGGTGTCGAAGCTAGTGCCTTTGGATTTATTGTGAGTTGCGCAATTGACGCAGTGTGGGGTCTTTGCTTTGCAGTTATCCTGGCTATGAGCTTGTCTACAGGTCAACGCTACTTTACAAGAATGACTGAAGTGTCCCAGCCGCTGACAATTAAAACACCTTGCAACTTGAAAGTATTTTCTGAAAGCACAAGAGCTGAATCCTATAAGAATTCTTCTAAGGTCCATAATATCCTCGTACAGATTCTGCTGTAGGTCGACGATCCAAGTGAGGCCGATAGTTGTGCGAATAGGATTTCTTGGATGTATTTGTTCTTCACTTGCTGAGGACACCAGGCTCGCAAAAGCCTCACGTATGTCGTCTCTGCTGTTGCGGATGGGGTACCAAGGGGGTACCAAAGACGATTGAAAGAGGGCTCTCTGAGCGTGACTGCTGCTGAGAGTAAGGGCTTTTCCTCAATCGCTTTCCTGAGTGTTTCTATATTTTGTCTGTGGCTGCACCTAATTAAAAGTTCGTTAGAGCGTGTGGGTCGCACTTCTTCAACAGTAATGCCCAGTTCCCTGGCGCTAAGTTCAGTAGTCATTTGGGATCTGACTTGCTCTGGAGTTCTGTCTGTTTTTTTTTTTTTGTTTTGTTTTGTTTGTTTGTTTTCTTTTGATAGGAGGACGTGCTCTGATAATTGTTTGTTAAGTTGCGCAGTACGTGCTTTTTTCTTTCTCTTTTTGACTTCGGTAAATGGAATTTCTTCTATTTCCGTCTGTTCTGGAAGTTCTTCTGGTGAAGCCGGAGCTGTTAAAGAACGATTATCATTCATGCTAAGTTGCTGTCGCAGCAGCTGAATTTTTTCTTGCAGACTTGCACAGTACACTTCTTGTTCTGCAAACGTATTGCGGATAGAGATAATTAATGAACCAAGCAGTCTTTTCTCGCTCACACTGGATTTGCGGCTGACTCTTGTTTGCATTAAAAATGAAAGTAGCTGGTCGCTGATTGATGGTCTCGATTTTGAAAGCTGGTGAATTGATAGTAGATAGTAGTGGTACGCGTCTCAGCTGGAGAGGAAGCGTTCACATTAATCATAGCACCATCTGAGTTTGCTTGGGATTTTGGAGTTTGTGAGCTCATTCTAGTGACTAGCAATTATCTTGCATAAACAATACAAGTAGGTTTAACTCAGCAAGTAGTATAATACACGTAGGTATAACTCAGCACTAGGATGGTAATTACGCAGAATTATATGCACCGTCGCACTGAGAGATCTTCTCAGTAGGTTACAGAGCCTCGACCGCCAGCCCCTTTAAATAAGCATATACAGGTAATCTTAGAATTAAACAGTTGGAAGTGTCTTAACTGAACACACTAAATACTATTAAAAAAATCGCATAGTAAGTATGAGCTAATAGCTCAGAACAAAGCATAGGAGGGATGGACAGCGTTAATAAATTATTAAACAGCTACATATAAGATAACCCAATACAAAAAAAAAAAAAAAAAAAAAAAAAAAAAAAAAAAATCAAACAAACAATTAATTCAATTATACAATGTACAAGGAAATGAGAGAAAACTACGGAGAACTGGGATACACAATTTACACTCCGTTAACGTTATTTACACGAGTATGTTTAAATTATGATGGGCAACATTTACTAGGAATATTCAAATAATATAGAAATTTTAATTATAATATCCGATAAGCACAATGTTTGAGAATTAAAATGAATATGTAATGTAAAATATTAAAGGTACAATAATATGAGATAAACGAAACCACTGAACGTAAGTTGCGGAGTTATTGCAAAATTTGCGACACTGTAGATTTTAGCAGTGAGATGATAGTTAACTGTGGCATGCAAGATGAGAACTCAAAAATGCTCCAATGCAATAAATTTTAAAATCCTACCTTATGATATTGTACATCTGTTCTTCTCTTCATAAGAATCCACAGATAAAACACATTCTGAAACCTCCACTCTATTTTTTAAGTTGGTTCATACACTAAAAACACAGATACAAATGTTAACACTGAAAACACAGATACTAACGTAATTACCCGAATTGACTGGGTATTATCTAGTAGCGGAACACGGGATGGCCTTGCTTAAATTCACTCTATAACGCTGTACACAGATGTAGTCACTAATTTAACTGAAGTTAATTAGTTGTATGCATAGATCGGCTTGCAAAATTCAGACTAGAACACTCTTCACGCACAGATGTAAACGTAAAATTAGAACAAGAGTTTAAAATTAAACAAGTGGTGGCTTCGTAGCACTTAAACAACGTTTAAATTGTTGATAATTCTATAACTATTGCATGCAGATTAACTAAAGTCACAAAACCTAAATAGGAGTATAAGAAAAACATAATTCAGTCATTTTTAAAACAAAAAATGCGCAATTGACCATGCAACATATAAAAATAAAAAGAGCTCATTGAGCCGGGTAACAGTGTGGGTATATACGAGTATATATATATATATAATGTTGAATGATCTAAAATCTTAGTTCGAAAACAAGTTTTTCTAATACTTGCGCAATAGCTGCAAAGTATATATATATACTTTTGACGCAGCCGATTGCAACAAAAAAGGGTAGTGCACAACTACAGGTTATAGCAATCTCATGTACAAAATTTCAACGTTTTGAAGCTACTCATTTTTGAGTTGTGCGAGATACATACTTGTACGTACAGACATCCCGAAAAATAATCTCTTCTGAATCTGTTTTAAATCCATTTTACAATTGGATGTCAAATGCAACTTTGGGAAAAAGAGTCCTTTAGTCTTGCGCAACATCAAATTCAACAGAAAAATTACAGCACTGTCCGTACGTACAGATGTCACGCAAGAAAATATCGTTCAAATGGGTTCGAGACTGGTCAGAATGGATATTTTCGTTGAAATATGGTATCTAATATTTTTCGCGAATGCAGTACTTCCTTTACTTTTGAATACTTACTGAAGTAAAAAATTCTCTTTGTATGAATAAAGGTTTTGTGTGTTATTATTAAATTCATCCTCTTTAGATTACTAGAATAATGAAAATTACCTTTAGGTTTCTGTTCTTTTAGTTTCACCGCCATTTTCTCTGCATGCTAAACAAAGGTTAAGCGAAGCAGGCGTAGCACTGAATCGTTGGAAAACAGGACACACAATAAACATAAAGTGGTCTCAAAACTCGCGACAGGCAAGTGGCCACTTGATACTTGTAAAACACGAACTTAGCAGATTTGTTTTATCAGCAATAAAGGTGTTATGCAGATAACCCTGTTGCGCTTACTTTTAATCATAATAGTAATACGAAAGGTAATAAATAATAACATTGCAGAGAACAGACCAGTCCAATTCAAAGTTCTAAATACATTTACTTTAGCGATTAGATTGTAAGGTAAATTTTCTTCTTTTAGTTGGAAATAAATGCATTGATTTAAGGTGTAAAGATATTATTCTTTTGCAATTTGATAACACATTCTAAATTCAATTACTAATTTGAGTGTATAGACTAATTACAGTGTACATAACTCATAGGAATTCAGAAACCATGTTTATAATTAAATAACTCACCTGCATGGACTATTACGGCGATACCACCAACAAGCAATGCCAGAATAGCAATCATAGCCAGTGTTGTTGCTAGACGATACCAAGATGCTGAAGATTTCTTCGAAACATTTGGACATGATTTTTTAAACTCTAGTCTCCATATGTTAAGACCTGGAACCTTTGTCAGTTTCGCGCCACTCGATTCGTCTGGGAGACCGGTGGATGAAAACTTCTTTCTTTGGCACTCCATTCTTCCAATTTTTCGAGCTTCGGATGGATCATAGTACGCAGGATTATTCAACTTAAAAGAGCGAAAAAAATAATTTTAAAATCTTGCATTTACTTATTTCAATGTTATGTGCATATATGTAATAATGTAGAAATATTGATGGCTTATAGAAACAGATAGTATAGAACGTAGAATGTTGATTCCGTAATTAACAGAAAACTTAGCAGCCGAGGCAGAATTAATTTCATCTCTTTTTTTTTAAAAAAAAAGTTGCTACCATAAACAACTTGACACACTACTCTTGCCTATTTAAAAATGATTTTGATAGCTTTTTGCAGTAAGAAGAGAACAGAGGGCAACAGTCCAGCTAGGTCGAAATGCAGAAAGCAAGTGCAACTGTGTTCAATATGAAATCTTAATTCGGAATATTGAGTTATTTTCAATTCTCAATGCATTTTATTGAGGGTAATTAACACAGCTGTAAAATTGTTATTGGCTGTTTGAATTTTAGTTACATTTACATCATCAGCGTTGTGTAAGAGTCATGTGACATGGATTAGTCTCGAAATGTTGCAGTGCAGCCCCTGCAATCCCTCTGCACTGCGACATGCGTAGCCCAATCGCTGCTCAGAGTTAACACAATGACTTTCTGCAGATTTATACTTGATTAAGTCCTAAGCTATTTGAGATATGAGCCCTTTATATAGTGTTATATCAGTTTTGTGTTGGTATCTGTTTTGGATGCAATTTCTATTTCATTAAAAATGAAAAAACTTTCACGTAGTTTCAGTTTGTGTTTCACGTTCTTTCAGTTTTGTGTTGGTATCTGTTTTGGATGCAATTTCTATTTCATTAAAAATGAAAAAACTTTCACGTAGTTTCAGTTTGTGTTTCACGTTCTTTCAGTTTTGTGTTGGTATCTGTTTTGGATGCAATTTCTATTTCATTAAAAATGAAAAAACTTTCACGAATATTGAGTTATTTTCAATTCTCAATGCATTTTATTGAGGGTAATTAACACAGCTGTAAAATTGTTATTGGCTGTTTGAATTTTAGTTACATTTACATCATCAGCGTTGTGTAAGAGTCATGTGACATGGATTAGTCTCGAAATGTTGCAGTGCAGCCCCTGCAATCCCTCCGCACTGCGACATGCGTAGCCCAATCGCTGCTCAGAGTTAACACAATGACTTTCTGCAGATTTATACTTGATTAAGTCCTAAGCTATTTGAGATATGAGCCCTTTATATAGTGTTATATCAGTTTTAACCAGAAGTATATTTCTGAGTAATTGTTCCTGCAAGAAATAAAATTGGTGTTCTATGGCACCCGTAATAAATTCAACAATAAAATTCTACGTGAAAGTTTTTTCATTTTTAATGAAATAGAAATTGCATCCAAAACAGATACCAACACAAAGCAAAATGCGGCTGATATTTTTTTTTAATTCTTAGCCGTATATATATATATATATATATATATGGCTCTGCGATCATCATAAGAACTACTTTAAATTCAATACTTCGCACATGAAACGGCAGTTTCTGGAATTGATCATATTGAAACATAAATTAGTTCATAATATTTTCGAGAGCTTTTAAAATTTTGTTTTTCAGATAATATCTTATAGTTAAGACAATACCAAAAGTTAGAGAAAGCTGAGCCACACTTACATGTTTGGAGTTAAAAAGGAGATAAACTGCCTCTCTTAAAATGGAAGCTATGCAGAAGTGATGAATTGTATTCAAGTGTCAATGGTAAATCCCAGTATTAAAGTAGAAAACTGCCATCGGTGCATTTTAAAGCATCAAATTACAAAACCTGCCTTCTTTAACACTTTCCTGTAGCGAATAAAATTTGAATCATTATTCATATACTTTATTTCTTAAGTTAATCAGAATCTTGTGAGTTTTGTACGACTTTATCATTATTCATGAAAATTTTAAATTTTTATTTGGTTAGCATAGAATTTAGAACGAACCTGGAAGTTGCTTGTTACTCGCCTGAAACGGCTGTTGAAATACACTCTTGCAGAATTAAGATAATTTACAAATTATCTATTTTTTCGAAAACCAAAGGTACTAATTATGACGTCGAAGAGTTATCCAAATATTCAGAGTTGAATAACGTAAGAGTATGCGTACGTGTCTGAGGAGCTGTGATTGTGGAGGAGACATAAACGCACGAGGAGTTTTCTGCAATTTGTGCGCTCGTACTTCTTCATGAGTTTCGTCGTATTTCTCGCAAGAGTTGGGTAAATTTTATATAGTATCAGGTAAAATGAGTAGCCACGAACGTATGGTTGACGGAAGAAGATGGAGAATTATCGGTAGATTGGAAGCAGGCCAATTACAAGCGCAGGTGGCAACCAAGGTTAATGTAACGCCCACTCTCGTCTGTATTTTGTGGAAGCAGTGTCAAGACACTCAATCTATATTTAGAAGACCTGGATAAGGTTGACTAAGATCCACAACGACAAATGTTGAAGGTTATTTGGCATTTTCACCATGGTGACGACACCGGACTGTTACAGCTTCCCAGTGCGTGTACCTGTATCTTAAGATAGCCTGGAACACGATACCATCCCTCCCTCAATAGGGAAAATGATCATTACGGTGATGGAAAAGTAATGGTTTGGGCAGGCATTATGTTGGACAGCCGAACACCCCTCTATGTGTTTGTCAAATGCTTCCTCACTGCTTTGAGGTAGAGAGAAGAGATCTTAGACCCCTACGTTCGACTTTTCTGGTTCCTGGGTTCGTGTTAATGGGCGACAACGCTCGTCCATACAGGGGTCAGGTGGTCGATGAATATCTGGAAAGTGAGCATATTCGCCACATAGATTACCCAGCCAGATCTCCTGACCTTATATAACATGTCTGGGAAGCTCCTGAGAGGGCAATTTCATCTCGTGATCTCTCTCGAAGAACCATCCCGGAGTTGAAAATTGTCTTGCTTCAGGAATGGAATCGATTGTCACAGAGACTCCTCAGTTGCTTCCTGTTCAGCATGCTGTCAAGCTGAGCGACATGCCTGGCTGTCAGAGGGGACCATACCCCATATTAGACTCATTTCCAGTTCAATATCACAATGTGGATTTTGGACATCCCAGCACTATGAGCTTTACTCATAATCATGCGTATTCAAAATGACTTTTGAATGATTTATCTCATCCTCTATAATAAATGTATATTCATATCAGATTTCCTTAAAATCTCTCCATTAGGTTTTCATAAATTCGACATAAAGTACAAATTCACTGGATTTTGCTCACGAGTGTAATTCATGTTACGGTTATAATAAGAACAGCCATGATCTTATCACTTATCTACGGTATAAGAAAGTCACTTGAATGAGTAAGAAACATAAAGTATCTCAAATGTTCCAACAGTAATTGATAGGTAGTTTGTGATATAAAACTTTAGGCTGCTTTGATAGAATTTTTAATATTTAAAATTTTTACTCTAGACATTATTTCTTCAATAAATGCAACTAAATGGAAATCACATAATTGGTGCCGAAACGATTAACAGAGTTTAATTTTTGCCTCCTAACTAGATTCTTTGTAAGGAATTATTGCATTCTCAAGTGCAAGTTTTCGTGACATTTACTTACCACATTATATTAAGACTTGCATATTATTTAATTATTTTCTGATAAGAAGTTACATTGAATAATTTTAGTTGCAAAGACATTTAAAGAAAAAGCAGAAGCATTTAGTGAAATTTATAGCATGAAGGCATTTGAATAAAAGGCATTTAAATTTGTGTATAAAAATTAGGACAATGTTTCATAGATTAATATGGGTAAAAAATCATCACTTTGAAAACTGACTCTTTGTAAATAACATTAGCATTTGTAAAGTAAACGAAGTAAAATTACAAATGATGTTAGCAATTACTCAGATTCGTAACTGCTTTTCAAGCAAAATGCATTTAACCTAACAATGGTTCTTGTTACCCCGTTACTCGATTCAGGCATGTGAAATAAGAAGTTAAATACAATGCTTGGAAACGGTGGGGAATTTTGAAACAGAGATAAAAATAAAGGAATAAGATGTTAAAAGTGAAAGTTTAATCAAAGAAATGAAAAGTCAAAGAGTTCCATTACAGGTGCGCGTATTGCTGAAATTTGGGTAAGCTTATGTTCTAAAGACGGGGTACAATAAAGAATTAATTACCATTTCTGAGCAAAGATTCCTGTAGTCTTTGGAAAACATCCTACAACAACATTTACCTGGATTACTTCTATAACACTGAGCGAGGAGAGAATTTTTCATTGTGCATTTTAATTGCGTTACAGAAGAGATAAACATTCAACATGCCGTGTGAAAAATCAGAAAGTACATTATGATTATCTGTAATGAAGCTCCAACGATTCCAACTAGAGCTGTTAAAATAAGAGAAATATTACTTAAAAGATTTATGTAATGCTAACGAAAGATCTGATAAAATTTTTGCTTAAGTTTCATCGATTAAAGAATCTAATTCTCCAGTAAAAATCATTAATTCTGCTTTGACATCAAGATGAATATGGCCAATTTGTATTAAATTCCAATAAAAGAGTATTTTGAGATAATCTAATCTTTTGCATCTTGAATGTACAGATTGAATATAATATTCGTAATGGCGCTAGACAGGCTTTAAAGTATCGGATAATTTTAGAGATACTACATATATTATTAAAGATATTTATAACGATTCCATTTTTCGGAATATATATTCATATTATAGAATTATATTAGCCCATCTTAAGGACAATCTTGTATTGAGTAGTGGATTTGAACGATATATAAATTCACAGATATTTGGATATAGAGAGCTAGAACTGAAACCTCGAGAAATGCAATCAAATAGAAGAAAATATATGGTTTCGAATATCAAGATGAGCACTTGAAATCAGTAAAATTTATCTAGATTTTTTGTATATCAAATGCGAGTAGGTTTAATTATCATGTTTATTTGCAGTTTTAGTATTAAAGATGGTCTTTGTAATAGAATAAGTTTACAAATTTTAAAATATTCTTTTGTTGGGAAGATTATGACTTTATCCTGAAGGAATTGCATTTCTTCCACAAACTAAGCTGGATTTTGCGATATATCAGCGAGTACTATATTACCCTTTAATTTCCGCTGACTACATCTAATAGTTTTAACATCTATTATCCTTTTAAATAAACTTCTGAGCTAAAATTTTGATCATTTAGTATATACGTTGGACAACCATTTTTTAATCATGAAAGTGTCACTAACAAGATATCATAAAATAATATAAGAATTTAAACGGAAAGTAAAATTAAAAAACCGATTTGGAAGAAGTTTTTAAAAAATAAAATTATTATTATTGAATAATAATGATGTGTATTCAAATTCAGTATATTTTTGACAAAAACTTTCTAAATGAAAGTAGCTCGTATTCATTTTACATGAGAGAATAAGCATCAAATCGCCCATGCAGTCAGGCCGTTCACTGGAATATATACCCAGACCAAAATATTAATATCTCGGTCACTAGAAGGCTCCTGGATAAAGATGAGGAAACCATCGAAAGCGAAAATTGATTGATTACAAAATTTACGATCTGTAACTTTTCTTGAAAGGAAAGGTGATAAATGGTAAACAGCCAGTAAAGAAGTTATAAGATATTTTCTCCCTCCTTCCAGCATGTATTCGTGGGGTAACGGTAGCACACTCGGTATGTATTTGAAAAGACCAGGTTCGAGTCCCGGCGAGGAGTGCATTGCACGTTTTAACATCTCCAGCATAAAAAAATTCTGATGACTCTACCCGTCAAAATGACACGTGCGACAAATCCTTTAGATTGCTTTGGCATTCTATAATCTCTTACCCTCAGATGCAAACAGCGAGCCTACTTATACGGGTAGTGTTATTAACTAAAATAAAACCTACCAGAGGACAAGACTTTAGATGTCTAAAAGCTAAGGATTCGTCTATGGTCTAAATACAGGACAACAAACTGTTTACATAGGGATTTCTGTGGTTTTCCGCATCTGTAATGTAAATATCAGACAGTTTCTTTTAGAAACTTTTCAAGATGGCATCTTTCAATTAATTCTAGCTCAAAATATCCTATCTAAAACTTACATATTTCATTGCACATGTATGTATGCATTCGATGGACTCGGTGGAATAGAAGTAAATAGTGTAATTACTGTTAAAGCTAGTGTAAAAGTTGAGTCGTCGTAGAGGGTATATTGAAAGCCCCTTAATGATATATTTTTATGCAGTGGGAAGAGATTTAAAATTTACTTACCCCTTTGTCGTAGCAATCGCGCAGAAGGAAAGCTGGTTTTATTTCTATTGGTGAAAAAGCAGTTTTATGTTTGTCCTCGTGAACGTCTCTGTATGGCAGTGGAGGAATACAGAGCTTCTGCTTTTCTGTGTTTGCAGTACCCCTTCCGTCTCTTACGTCTTTAATCCCAGTCTTCATTGAGGAAAAATTTCTTGAGAATGAACGGAAGAAATCTCCCTAAAAATAATGAAAGGGTTTTCAAAGTTTGTTGAAAAACTGCGAATTAAATGCAATCTGTATATATCAGGAACGTTCTGTTGAACTAACTGAATGGTCATCTGAATACCGTAAGGTCCAGAGGGGTTCACGGGAAATTGGAGATTGGGGAACTGGAAACAAAAGGATCGTAGCTGCGTTTTGTTTTTATTTTCACACATGGATTGAGCTATTGTCTGGAATGATGCGGTCACGTTTCCGGAGATTCGAGTAGCGGAATAAACTTCTGAATTTCTCTCGTGTCGAAATCTAAATTTAATTAACAATATTGAACGCTTTAGCAGTCCCATCTATGCCCATCTGACTTTAGCAGTAAGGTACCATTAACGATTCAGTTAAAATGCTGAATTTATGTTGCAGGATAGTGATATATTACTAAATTGATTGCGATTTAAATAATTAACAAACTGAAGTACTAAAGCTTCATACACTACTAGACTATCATCTGATTCAAAAAGCTACGATTCCTTTCAAAAAATTCAAATTTTAAAATATGCATTAAAATTATGTGTTATTAATAAATAGATTTATAGATGAATAAATAATAGGTGATCATAGATATGATGTTGACAGAAGACAATACTGCAAGATAACAAAAATAATCATTTATTTCAAAACAAGTTCAAAGCCATTGGTAATTCTTTGAACTTAACATCGCAAACCAAAACTAACATTCTTTTTCTCGCTAACAGTGTCGACGGCAACGCCATCTCATTTCAGAAATATTCAACAATCCGCCCCCCCCGGATTGAAATTACAAATTTCAGTAGATTATATAGAAACATTCATTCTTAAAGTAACAGTAATATACCTGGTTAAACACCATAAATTACGAGTACTGTAACATCTCAAAACATTTTTTTTTTTTTACACATGCAAAAATAGAAGTTACTAAATGAATTCATTTTCATTCTGATAGTTTAAGTGGATATGTGGTGATGGCGATAAGGAGCGCGCCTTGCGCCCTCCGATAAGTGTGGCAACCCTAGAGGAGAAGTTTCTTACGAGTAGCGAGCAGAGCGAAACAGGCAGGCTGTCGGGGAGTATGCGCGATGTTCCTAAATAAAGTTTAATTTTTATTGTGCACTATGTCTCGTTAATATTTATATTAATGCAGTAAGAACATAATCTGTGATATGGAATTTGAGGATTGGTGGTAAAAAAATAACCGGAAATTACCATAATGGTAACCCGGACTGTGTTAAATCAAGCCGTATGAACAGTTCTCAAGCACTTTCGGTTTTGACTACAAGCCATCACTCAAGATCTCCAAACCAGAAGTAATGGATTACATCGGTTTTCATCCTCCGAATCACAGATGAGTAGTAATTATAGATCATTTTATAATTCTGTTTTCTACTTATCATTTAATTTCATTTTCTTTAGTTAAATTTTTGCTTTTATTTTGGCTTAAAAACCTTGCACAATGTCTGATGTTCATGCCGTCCAAATTCCGGTTTATAACCGATCAGACCCATCTTTATGGTTTATTATGTGTGAAAGTACCTTTGCTCTTGCCACCCCCAAACCTATCACAGAATCCATTACTAAATATAATTATGTAGTTTCTCATCTTCCTCCAGATATCGCATCACTAGTACGGGATTTACTTATGAAACCAGACCCTATTGATCCATATGCAAAGCTTAAAACTGAGTTAATAAATCGTTCAGGAGAATCTTCTCAGCAAGAAATTCGCCAATTATTATGTTCTCGAAAACCTTCCGATTTGCTTAGAAATATGAAACGTCGAGCAGAATCTTTAAATGTTCCTGATAACTTAATGTTAGAATTATTCCTTCAACGTTTGCCTTCGACTGTTCAGTCTATTTTGGCAGCGGTTTCCAATTTAACTGTAGATAAAGCTGCAGAAATTGCCGACAGAATTTTAGAAGTAAATCCAACCCCAGGGACTTGTGCCGTTTCTCGCACAGTCGATCAGTCTCTTGAGGATAAATTATTTAAACAAATAGAAAAATTAAACAAAACGTATTGATCGCATTTCTCTTTCTCGTGGTCGCTCGCCAAATCGCGGAGATCGCAATAAGGAAAGAAGCAATTCCAAAAGGAGAGATTATTCTGTTTGCTGGTATCATAGACGTTTTGGGAAAAAGTGTAGAGATGACAAATGTACAAAACCTTGTTCATGGCAGGGAAACGAAACCAGCAAAGAATAGAGGCGACTTATTCTTTGCCTCAAGTTTCACGTCGCCTGTTCGTTCGTGACCGTAGAACAAACCTTTCATTCTTGGTCGATACCGGCTCTGACGTGTCCTTACTTCCAGCAAATAATTCTCAAAAACGGAATTCGTCCCAACAAACACTTTTCGCTGCTAATTCTTCTACTATTCATGTTTATGGTCAAAAAACACTTTCTTTGGATTTCAAATTAAGACGACAGTTTACATGGACTTTTCTTATAGCAAATGTTAGTACACACCCATTCTTGGAGCAGATTTTCTCCATTTCTTTGAATTGGTGCCTGATCTCAGAAACAAATGTCTCAAAGATTTAAAAACGCATTTTAAAACCGTCGGTTGCGTGAAAAATGCAAGCATTTATTCAGTAAAAACTGTATTTAGTGATACACCATATCACAAAATTTTAAAAGAATTTCCTTCAGTTACTAGATTACCAGATCCTAACCAACCTGTTAAACATAACACCGTTCATTATATCATAACTAAAGGTCCACCTGTGGTTGCAAAACCTCGTCGGTTAGCTCCAGATCGCTTAAAAATAGCAAAACAAGAATTTCAAACTATGATGCAATTGGGGCATTTGAGACCTTCGAGCAGCAATTATGCATCCCCACTTCACATGGTTCCAAAAAAGGGAAGTCTGGAATGGAGACCTGTAGGAGATTATCGAGCATTGAACGCTCAAACAATAAAAGACAAATACCCTATTCCATGTTTAGCCGATTTTACTGCTGCATTGCACGGTACTAAAATTTTTAGTCATGTCGACCTGATTAAGGCATACCATCAAATACCAATTAACCCAGCCGACATCCACAAAACCGCCATATGCACACCATTCGGTTTATTCGAAAGTACCCGTATGCAATTCGGCTTATGCAATGCATCCGCGACTTTTCAACGTTTTATAGATGAAGTCACGCGGGATTTAGAAGGTGTTTACGCTTTTCGTCGATGACTTGCTCATAGCCTCTAAAGATTCTGAGGAACATTGCAGGCATTTGAAAGCTTTATTTTCCAAACTTCAGGAATATGGACTTTGCATAAATGTTTCAAAATGCACCTTTGGTCAAACCTTAGTGAAAACGGAATTGAACCTCTTCCTGACAAAGTCAAATGTATTTTAGATTTTCCTCAACCTACCACTCTCACTCAGCTTCGCCGATTTTTAGGCATGTTTAACTTTTATAGATGTTTCATACCTAAAGCAGCACATATTCTTTCTCCTTTAATAAAATTGTTAGAAGGCTATATTAATAAAAAGAAATCTCGTTCTCGTGTTCAGGATTCATCCCCACAATTAAATTGGAACGAGAATGCTGAACAAGCCTTTATTGCTGCCAAAAATGCCATTGCTCAGGCTACCCTTTTGAGACACCCTATTCCCGGAGCCCAGCTAAGCATCTGGGTAGATGCCTCAGACGTCGCAATCGGCGGCACACTTATGCAGTTGTCTCAACAAACATGGGAACCTATAGCATTTTTCTCTATGAAACTCAATAAAAGTCAACAGAAATGGTCCGCGTACGATAGGGAATTATTTTCTATTTATTCTGCAATTAAGAAATTCCGACACATGTTAGAGGGCAGAAATTTTATAATTTATACGGATCAAAAACCGTTAATATACGCTTTTAAACAGAACCCTCATAAATGTTCACCTCGACAATTGCGACATTTAGATTTTATTTCTCAGTACTCTACTGATATTAGGCATGTGCAAGGTTCAAAAAACGTCGTTGCTGACGCTCTTTCAAGAATCGAAATTGATTCCATAACAAAATCTCCATTTTTGGATTTTAAAAAAATTTTCGGAAGCTCAACGGCATGATCCGGAGGTACAAGACCTTCTCAAAAACAACACATCATCTTTGAAACTGGAATTTAAACCGTGCCAATATTCTGATGGTAATATTCTTTGTGACATATCAACGGACATTCCTCGTCCATTTGTTCCGAATTCCTTTCGCAGACTCATCTTTAATCATCTGCATAATCTGTCACATCCAGGAATTGCAGCTACTACGAAGCTTATTTGTTCTCGTTATGTATGGCCCGATATGAAACGTCATATCAAAAATTGGGTGAAATCCTGTGAATCTTGCCAAAAAATCGAAAATTACTAGGCATACTAAAGCACCACTGGGCACATTCTCTCTTCCTGATGCACGTTTTTCAGAAATCCATATGGATATCGTTGGACCGTTACCTCCATCAGAAGGCAACGTGTACCTTTTGACTCTAATAGATAGATTCTCCAGATGGCCTGAAGCCATTCCCATCCCGGATATGAAAACGGAAAACCATTTGCAGAGCCATCTTCAACTGTTGGATATCTCGTTTTGGCTGCCCATCGATCATAACAACAGACCAAGGTTCTCAAATGAGATCCGCACTTTTTGCAGAATTCACGCGCATTTTGGGTACGAACAGAATCACAACAACAGCCTATCATCCAATGTCCAACGGCATTGTTGAACGATTTCATCGACATTTAAAATCTTCTCTCAAGGCTCACGAGACCAATAACTGGACTGAAACACTACCAGTTGTTATGCTTGGTATTCGTACAGCCGTAAAGGAAGATCTACAGTCATCTTGTGCTGAACTGGTGTACGGCACAACTCTCAAGCTGCCTAGTGATATGATAACGTCATCTAAGATATCTCCGTATGACACACAATTTATCACGAATCTTCGGCATAGAATGCAACAATTGAATCCAATAGCAACATCTGCACATTGCCAAGAAAAATGTTA